AAAGGTCGGTGTTCAGCGTCGCTCCTTTTCGTTTAGGGTTTAGGGTTTAGGGTTTAGGGTTTAGGGTTTAGGGTTTAGGGTTTAGGGTTTAGGGTTTAGGGTTTAGGGTTTAGGGTTTAGCATATCTGAGGCTCCTTGTCGTTTAGGGTTTTTAGAGCTTCTAGCAGCCCAGGCCTTCGAAACTTTGAGACCTTTGGGAGCATGGTTTTCGTGTATACAATAACAGAAGACGTGCACACGCAGATGAAAGTTGCAAACTGAGCATACCTGATAAACTTCAAAGAGCCCGTCATCAAGAAACGAACAATAATGAATACACAAGTTCATACATGAATAAACGGATAAATAGATACATATATATATATATATGTAGTATACAGACACATATATGTATGTATGTGTGTATGTATGTACGTATGTATGCATGTATGTATGTATGTATGTATAGGTAGGCAGGCAGGCAGGTAGGCAGGCAGGCAGGCAGGGAGGGAGGGAGGGAGGTATTTTTGTACTCGCACACAAATCTACAGTCAATCGGGCCGCTGATGCAGGAGCCCCATACATTAGGAGTATGCAGCTCCCCGAGGCCCTTGTTTAACAAGTCAGACCTCTGCGACACGTGTAATATAACACCGCATAAAGCCCTGATAGAATGGTCTCGGCTCAGGTATGCGCGTAACGCGTCGAGCTGGAAGAAGTGCCTTGTCGATGATTTGGCCTCCACACTTTGGGGTTAAGGGCTCAGGGCTTAGGGTGATGCCAGAGGCTTCGGGCTTGGGGTTTAGTGTTTGACCCCAAATCCTCAGCCCTCGGATCTTGAAGGTCGAGGGTGTCTCTGCATCTCATTTAGTCACGGTTCGGGCTGGTGCAACAAAAGAAAAGGCAAGACCGTATTGGGGTAGGTTTGCAGGAGCAGGCTTTTGCCCGCCCTGTACGCTTAGATCTTTTTTTGCCGAGATGCATGGCCGACATGAATCAACCCTAACAAAAAAACCGAATCAGGAGCCGTAAGGCCAAGCACTTTTATCTTTTGCATTGCCAAGGCAAGAAGCTGCGGACAAGTGCGAGGTGTGGGCATTCTCGGGTTAGGGGTTTAGGGCTTACGGTTTAGGGTTTGGGGTTGGGGTTTAGGGTTTCGGGTCGCGCAGGAGTGTAGGATCGTGGCAGGGTTGAGGGATGTGGAAGGTTTGAGTTTTGGTGTAGCATTCTTGTAAGGGCTGTAAGCTATTGATACAGGATTCATAGTTTAGGGCTGTGTTTGTTGCGCGTGTGCTTTGGGTTCAAGGGTTTGAGGCTTCAGGGCTTAAGGTTTAGGGACTTTCAGTTATAGGCTGAGGCTGATCGTCAGGAGGTACCTGTTTCAGAGCTCAAAATCCCAAAGGTCTCCGCTCCGCTCAAGGAAAATGGACAGCCTGACTGCCATCAGGCAGCAGGCTTCGCCCATGATTTCCAGCACAATGACAATATCCAAAGCCCTGTGTCTCTGTAAATTCCTGCTCTATCGCACCAGATTTGCATGCTACCGGGTCTGTCTATCTCTTTTATCCAATGTCTGTATCTGTTTCATGATTTCTGATCTAACTATGCATGGGTCTGTGGCAGTCCGCACCACGAGGACGAAAACCCGGGTCACTACTACACGCCGACAGGCAAGCGCCACGGCGGAGATCTGACGATTGATGGTGGGTTGGATATCTGCATCTGTAGCCCTAAGAGGTTCAGGGTTTAGGGATTGGGCTCTCGTCGAACCATTGAGGCCTCCAGCTTAGTGCATTTTCACGGCGGTTGAGGTTGCTACTCGGCTGGTGTTTCGGGAGTTTGCATCTTCTCGTATTCTTTGATGCAAATCTCGCGAGTGCATTTCTCGTTCCAAGGCTCCAAGAATTTCGGGGAAGCCCACAACCCTAAACCCTAAACAGTGAACCCCGAACCCAAACCTGACCCCGAACCCTGAACCCGGAATGCATAACCCAACCCCCTGGACCCTCCAACCCTAAACTCTAACATCAGGGCCTTCATAATTAGAATAGGGTTTAGCGTTGAGGGTTCAGGGTTTAATGTAGGGGCCTTAAGAATTCGAATAGGGCTTGGGGGTATATCATACTTTAATTACCCTACTCTAATTATTAAGGCCCCTACACTAAACCCTAAACCCTAAACCCTAAACCCTAAACCCTAAACCCTAAACCCTGAAAGCCCCACCCTTGAGGTGCCTGCTCAAGCAGTGTTATTGCACCATCGAGCTTAGCGGGCGGACGGAAGGTTCCTCGGCCGCCTTTGAACCGAGACTTGACGGTTCAGGGTTTAGGGTTTAGGGTTTAAGGTTTTAGGGTTTAGGGTTTTGGGATTCCTTACCCCAAATCATGCGGAAGCCTTAGTACGGGTTTTGGGACATCTAATACCATAATTACAATAAGGAACCTCCAAAATACGGTTGATGATATAAATCCTGCACTACCCATAGTAAGGAATATACCATAATTCCCATAGCTTAGGGTGCTTAAGGTAATGCAGGACTTTATATCATCATCATCAGTATTTCGCTAAACTTCTCACCGTGTTGGGTTTAGGGTTCGAGGACTTCGGGTTTGGGGTTTAGGGGCCTAATCCGGTAGTACCTTCAGTTCACCTGAAGCGTGGAGACCCTATTACCCAAACGCCTTGAGCCGAAGGCTCGGCCGATTTCGGGCAGTGATGGGAATGAGGGCTTAGAGTTTAGGTTCAGAAGAAGAAGGCTAAGAGAAATGTTGTTACAGGTGTTCGGTTTTGTTGTTAGGCGTCAGGTGGTTTTGCAATCCAGCGGTTGTGGGCGCAACGCTTCGTGCTTGAGATGACATGCCAGCTTTCAGCTAAGGTACCCAAGGTGTCGACTGCCCCGAAAATGGCAAGACCGACTGTGAGGGGTGTTGCACGACTCAGCAGAGATCGCAGCTTGGATGCTGGGTTTGGGGCTCGGTAGTGGTCTGTGGGGCCGAAGAATCGGTCCTACTATTCGTAGAGTCTCTAAGTCCCTACATGGGTAGTTCTCTAAATTAGGATCCCTTTTAGGTCCCCAATATAATACGGCACCCTCATAAAAAGGACCCTAAAAGGGACCCTAATTTAGAAAACTGCCCACATTGTTCTATAGTGTACCACCCGAAACACTATTCATTCCCTTGTGTTGAATGCCCCACAGCCGGAGAAAGCCATCTTCTGCCCTGTTGAAGGGTGCTTTGCTACGATCCTTTCCGAACGGCCGAAGTTGAAGCGGCCTGTTTTTGTCTTGGCTCTTGGAGTAGGAGCCACGATAAGGAATGTTAGCAGTGCGGATCTGGCGATTTCGCAAGAAGGTCCCTTGTTTTCTGAGATCCCCAGGTACTGTACAACCAATGCATGTTCCAGCGGCTTTATCATCAAGAAGGGTGCGGGGGAGCTCCTCTGCCAGCTTTCGACATGCAACCCGACCTTCGACAACAGCATGTGCTGCACAAAGGCGGACGTCGGCTCGAAGTTCCTGTTGACTTTCAAAGTCAGTTCCGATGATGACTGTGGAACAGACTCAGATATCTACGCGTGGCTGACGTATCGGACCGGGAAAGGTGCGACGAAGTATCTCAGCACATCCAAAGACGATGCTATGACTTGTTCAGAATGTTTTGGCATGCAATAGGCATGACCATATCAGGATCACCGTGCCCGCTCTTATCTTCTCTCAATCTCAGCTTTCCTTCTATGTTGTGTTTACCTTTGGCTGGCTTGTTAGTACAGCCAACTTTCGCCAGCGCCCAAACCCCGAAGCAATATCGAGGACTTCAAGGCGGGTGAGCAGGAGTCCTTTGTCTACACCTTCGAAACGCCGCAGCATCCGTTGGACATCTGTGTCTGGAATAAAGGGGATGATGCTTGGCATTCATCCTGTAGCAGTAGCAATAGCGAGCCCAACATTTCGGCAAGTATTCCCGAATCAAGTGGCGAGACATAGTGAAATGGCCTGGCAAACATGAGCTAAGAAGTTGATTTGCCTGAGAGTTTAGACTTAGCGCAACACTGAGGCATTCTCAGGCGTGCGAATGCGATTGAGGCCTAACCATCCTTTGCGGCTTCCCCAGAGAGCCCAATACCCTTTAATTAAGGAATATACCTTACATCATGATTCCATCTATATTCCGTAATTAAGGGGTCTTGGGCTCTTTGGGTCCTCCGGGTTATCCGAGCGCCCAGCAGAACCTCGAAACGTTCAGCCCGAAGCAGTAGACCCCAAACATTGGACAGTCTCGAGAATGCTGCCCACACGCTTTTTTCGCCAATTGTCTTTGGCGATAGTAAAGATTATGAGGTTGTTGACGATTCTGTCTTTCGTTTCACCATCATCGTCATCATCACCGTCACCACGATCGGATTTCAGTTGTTGCTCTTGTTGCTGCCGCTGCACGTTCTTTAGCGTTTCTGCTTGGTGGGAACTATACACAGCTACCGACCGGGTGGCGAAAGTCTATTTAAGGTCATGTTTTGTCATTGCTATCCTTCGGAGGTTCGGAGGCGGCGACGGGGAGGGGCTCGCGGAAGGGCACAGATATGACGTTTCAAATTATTTCGGGCCCTAAACCCTAATCCCTAAAGCCCCAAGCCCTAAACGTTCAGGGTTTAGGGACCCCTTGAAACACCCTAAAGCTCGCCTGAAACCTGAGCCGTGAAACCCAGGATGAGCTGTGCCTGGACTGGGTGAAGATTGCGAATGATGTCTCTCGGAATTGGAGAAGACTTGAAAAGCTCCAAAGCCTCAACCCGAAATCCCCAAACCCGAAACCCTCTCATGCAAATCTCGCAGCCCCCGTGCCCTAACAACCCTTATAGTACCTGTATAGAGCCCTTTGAGAAGAACCCTTATAATCCTTTATAGAGCCCGTGTACAAAGGAACCCTTACAATATTTTTATAGAGCCCTTCCAAAGGAACCCTTATAATCCCTAAACCCTAAACCCTAAACCCTTATAATCCCCTTTAAAGCCTTCACATCGAATCAAAGGACTCCGACTCCCCGTTGCCTCTCGGGAAGACGTCGGGATGGCCTTCCCTGAGCTCCGATGATGACCGGCCAAGCTCTTTGTGGTTTTTGGGGCCTTTTTTTGATGGTTGAGGGTTGAGGGTTGAGGGTTGAGGCTTTAGGGTTTAGGGTTTAGGGTTTAGGGTTTGGTGAGGGTTTAGGGTTCGGGAGCTGAGATGGGCGGCTAGTTTGCGTCGGTCTCATGCTCGAAGAGCGGAGAAGTTTGTGATCTTCAGGCGAGTTTCCACTAACCCTAAGGCCCCGAACCCCCAAACTCCGAAGCCCGAAAGCCCGAAAGCCCTAAACCCTAAACCCCAAACTCTAAATGAAGCCCTAAACCCTAGACCTTAAACCCGAAACTTTAAAACCCGCGAGCCCTAAAGTCCTAAAGCCTAAACCCAAAACTCCAAAACCCTAAAGCTCCAAACCCAAAACCCAGGTTTGAGCGCCATATCAATGCTCCTCAGAGACCGAAAACATCCCAACCTGTGCACCCTGGGTTTAGGGTTTAGGGTTTAGGGTTTTAGGGTTTAGGGTTTAGGGTTTAGGGCCTACGAGAAGAGTTGCATAGCTATACGATACTACGTTCCACTATCAGCATGCTTCTAGACACACTGAATACATTGTAGGTGGTTTTACAGTATATGTAGAGAGAGGGGAAGATAGAGAGAGACAGCAATAGGCCAGAGTCATGTAAACCCTAAACCCTAAACCCTAAACCCCTAAACCCTAAACCCCTAAACCCTAAACCCCTAAACCCTAAACCCTAAAGCGGGCCCTTCATCTTCTGGCGTTCTCTGTTCACGTCCTCCCTTGTAGCCCATGTCCTGGGAGAAGTCGGATAATGTAGGAACCTGACTAGTGGGTAATGTAAGGGCCTAAATAATTGGAACAGGGTTTTGGGGCAGATTCTATTATAACTATAATAAGGAACCCCCAAAATAGAAGAGGTAATTTCTACTATGGCTATAATAAGCAACCCCCAAAACAGTATAGGTAATTGTTTCGGCCCCCCAAAATACCGTGTTTCTTGAAGGTCCCCCCTTTAGAACGTGGGGGACAGGATGCCGAGGACGTGAAGCTGGGCTCTTGTGCAGAAGTTTACGTTGAAGCTACCCTAAACCCTAAACCCTAAACCCTAAACCCTAAACCCTAAACCCTAAACCTTAAACCCTAAACCCTAAACCCTAAACCCTAAACACACTATTTACTGTAGATCTCTATTCTTGTTTATTTCAGTTTAAATCCCTTAATTAACAAGAATCCAGGAAAGGTGCGAGAAAGGTTACCTGAAAGGGGCAGGTATGATTGGGACTTCCCCAAAACCCTATTTTCAAAACTAAGCTACTGGAGCGTCACTCTTTGCGACTAGATAGACGGAGTTCCCTGTTTCGCATCTGGAAGTTGGCCGAATGTATTAGTTGATCACGAATCTTCAACGGCTTGAGTTTAGGGCTGGATTGCTTTGCGGCGAAACAGGACGACCACGACGATGATGACGCAGTTGATGACAAGTGCATTCCCATCGTCTACAACAGCCTCAGTGAGATTTAGGTTTCCGGACAACAGGTGCATCCCAGACCTTCGATATCTGGTCGCACGAGACGTGCAACATGCCGACATTCGAAAGAGCTTTTGTACAAATCACTTCTCACTAGTAGCTGTTCTCGGCCATCCCTTGTGTAATCGTCGTAGTAGTAGTAGTAGTAGTAGTAGTAGTAGTAGTAGTACTCGTGGAGGTGGTGGAGGCGGTGGGGGTGGTGGCGGTGACCACGAAAACGACCCATCGCTGCTCCTGCTGCTGCTGCTATTCCTAAGCATTAACCACGTCGTCACGACGACGATGACGGTGCGACACACGACTTCGACGACCGCGAGGACGACATGATGACTGCTACTCTCCTAATCCCGCACACTCCCTCATCACAAGAATCCCACAAGTCTTTTGGCAATGACAGCGATAACCGCGCACTTTGAAGCAACCATGAACCAACACTGCATTACACGTACGTGCGCTGCGCCTGCCTCAAAGCTGGGCAGTTTTCTGCTGAATTCAGAAGTTCTGGGGAGCATTTCTGGTGTAGCAGCTTCATGAGACCGTACTACGACAACTACACTTCCGAGTCTGCGATTTCGGATGGTACGGCATCTCAAATGTCACGTTAAGGGCAAGCGCCCGGCAAGTCTGATGGTGCTTAATGGTGATGTCAGACCGGGGCACCTGAACAGTTGATTCGTCTTTCTGAACCGGGGTCCTTAGCTTGACTAACCCACAAACCCGTGCTGAATGACTCCGAAGATACGGCTGATTCTCCGAATGCTCCCCTTGAGCTGCCTCCCCCGCAGCTTGAACCTCTTGTTCAAGCGTAGGTCCCGTCACTGGGTTGGCTTTTGGCTATGTTCTCTTGCCAGATATACACAGGACCGTTTACGTCACGTAAACTCTTTTTTCGCAGTGGGATCTCAAAGCTTAACCCAGTGTGAAGCGGGGGTTTGAGCTGGGGAGAGGATTGCAGGCAGTCGACTGGCCAACCATGAGCCAAAACTGCCATGGTTGGCTTGCCCCTGGAGCCACATTGCCGCCTGCTTTGTGTGGCCGTTGGTTTTCGCATGCCGACCGAAAGAAATCGAGCGGGGCAACATCACGGCGTCTGAGAGCCCGAAGCCTGAAGCTTAGCAGGCTGCACAACGCACGACCCACCTAGTTCGATTGCACTCACCCGAGTCCCTCCCAAAGCTGAAGTGCAGCTGCCGTCGTAAGTTGAGTTGCAGTTAGTGTATACAGGCCTTGCATGCGTGAGATTCTTGCCATGGTGTCTGAGAACAGAGCCTTACCAGGCTCACGTAGTGTTTAGAGATGTTTAGGGATTGAGGAAGAAAGCCAGGGACCTGGCGGGGGGCTGCTACAGAAGACCATGGCCGTGAGTCAATGGTCCGACGAGTACTTGATCCCCGCTGCTGAGACTTAGGCAGTCGATTACCTCCCATGGTGCTGAGGATGCCGATGGTGATGATGATGGTTGAGGTAGCCGGTAGAATGCTGCGTTGTAGGACGAGGATGCAGCCTGAGCCGGAGCACAACGATATGTTCGCTTCTGCTTGCCATGCACGCCAGTGTATATATCGGAGCGGCAGCAGGGCAGGTTGGGAGTTGCCGCGAGCAGCATTCATCCCATTCGGGGGGTCCTGAGCCAGGAAGCGCCTTCCTCTAGTATACGACGCGGTTGGGATGATGAATGCCAGCAGTGAGTACTCTTGAGTTGTTACCAGCATCCGAGATGTTCCATGCAGGTACATAAGCACAGACTTGCCTGGCAGCCACTTGATCTCCTGCGTCCTCCTAGCTAGCGATCCTGTTCGTCAGCATGGCTCGTTGTGCCGGGAGCTCGGGCTTTTTGTTAAGCTTCCGGACATGATTGAGGATGGTGTTTTTCGAGAGGTCCAGAACCTTAGATCCTCAGCCCTAAGCCTGGTTACTAGTCTTGTGCAGGCTTTCTGTTGTACGGGCTTGAAGACAAGATTTTGGCGACTGAACGTCACTGCGTCCATGTGTTCATGGCATCTATGCAGTTTGCTCGCCCATGTGCGGTCGCATCCCTCCACCCACAAGGGCTTGAACCTTCAACTCTGCAACGCCTTAAGCTTCGAAGCTTCAAACCCTCTTCAATTCAAGCCCTCTTCGCGCCTTCCCCTCTTAGCGATGGAGCGTCCAACGAATACAAAGCCACTTCGTGTTGACACTGATACGCTTTCTCGCACCTTGCAGTTGGACGACATGCAGCGGTTGCAGAAGCTGGAGGACCCCTTGACGATTTCTTGGCTGAGTGCTTGCACATAAGTTTGTCCGTGTCAGTGGTCAAGGAGTATGGTCCAGGACTTGCGCAGACTGTATTCTTACGTAGCCAGACTCCCCAGTTCAGGCCCGAATTATTGGATGGTAATAGTATGAGGTTTAGTTGTAAGATTTCGGTACATAAGGCGAGAATTTGCAGATAAGGGCCGCACTCACCGAATTCTCGACGTCTAATCCGGGCTTCAATCTTCAGCAGCGTGCGAGCAAGCCTAACCCCCCTCTCTTGCTGTGCAGGAGCGCATAGCGGAGAACGATGAAAGCAACCTCGAGACATTCGGGGAGGCCTCAACAGAGTTGAGCAGGGAGTCGTCGTTTGTTATACAAGACATTGTCTGTGGGATCCCCACCCCCCTCACCAAGCAGCGTGTAACAGTACGAGAGACTAAGTTCACATATAATATCTTGGTACGCAGGAGCGTATCGCCACCAACGATGAGTTCAATCAAGACACCTTTGGGGAGGCCTCAGTTCTGCACCAAATCCAACCGAGCACAGTCTCACCAAACCATGTAATGAAGCATGATTTCTTCAGAGTCACATGGTTGCTTGAAGGTTGGAGGTTTTCTGCAACATTCCATATGCATCTAAGGCGGCATCCATTATTGTATTGTATGCCCCTCACAAATTTGAAGCCTAAGGCCTAGGTCTTACGGAAAGCCCAGTTGGACCGCTTCGGTTACCTGGACCGAGGTATCCTTTCAAACTATGCGTAGCCATTCCCAGGCAGCAGAGATATTTTAGATGAGGTGCATTTATATACTTAGTTACTTAGGAGTTACATAGCTACAGCTTTCGGGATCACTTACAAGAGCCATGATGTCTTGTGAAGACTCTGTGGAGCTCTTTTGTTGCCTAATTATGACAGGCTAGGGGAGAGCCCAGGCGTGCAAAGAGACGTGGTTCCACACTTTGTCATCGCATGCGGTGTTGGATATGTAGGAAACTGGCAGGTGTGTGCAGCCGAACTGAAGCTACAGAGAATTGAATCTTCATTGCACCGAACTTGGCTGAGTGGCACAGACGAACAAGGTTCGAAATGATGTGGGCGGGATCTATGTTCAAGGATTGAGTTCTCTGTTCCAGACTGTGCGAGTTAATGCGGAGCCGGCTCAGCTTCAGAGTGTTCCCTGCTTGATAACTGGAGGGTGGGATGAAGGTGTTGGACTTGTCGAGGTGAAGCTTGCATAAGGAGTGAGTGTGAACCCAGATGACTGAGTTCAAGGTATAGCTCCTTTCTGTCCCGACCCCAAAGGCCCGATTTGAGGCATACCAGAAGGATACAGAAAAGCCTTGCCCAGGGGAGCGACAACATGTTTGGCTTTGAGGCTGGTTTAGCAAGGGGGGGATGGATGGCTGTAGTTACGTTTATGTAATTTTCATAGACGTTACGATGATGGTCCCTCCGACAATCGCACTTTCCACTTGTTCTCAGTTTTTCTTGATTTTTCTTTCAAGCCACAATATTTGATAATACCTAGAAACCTCTCGTTTATCTCAGAGATGTACGCAGAAAGGTCTTCACGAGCATCCTAAATCCAGGCACGGTTGAAGAAAGGATTGGTCAACTGATTGCAATACCCCTGTCCCTCCCGGCAAGCATCGAATCCAAAGACCATTGTAACTATGGTCATGATGACGCATATGTTTCTCTCCTATTCAAGTGGATGATCAGCAGACTTTGATCCGATTCATGGTTCTGTTTAGTTCATGTCACGGTTAGGTCGCAGTTCTTGTGACTCCAATCTCGGGGCGGTCAGAGTGGTCCCAAACCCTCATGAAGGATCACGTCCTTTGAACGACTTCCCGGCTGACTGAAATGAGACTGAATCAAAACACAAAGGGGTTCCCTTGCTTCAGTTATTTCTGCACAAACTTTTTCATACAGTCCAAATGAAACAATAAGAACACAGGGCCGAACGATTCCTTGTAACGCCTTCACCAAGTACCTTAGAAGCCCCCTAGTTCCTTTGAAGGGGTTTGTCTTCGTTCCCCCAAAACTGCTTGCAACGGATTCCGGGGTTGTGAGACCAGTGAACGTATTCTTCATTATTTGGAGGGAGGTGCTTAGATGTCCATCCATAGGCCAGGCGCAAGCTTGTGGGACTAGGACGGTCTTCGCGACCGGCCGATTGTTTTCACAGATAGAGACTTCAGGAGAAGAAGATCGATCCTTCTGACGCGGGGCTGTACAGCTACATCGAGCTGCACGACTTCTACTCAGGCGGTGATGGGGGGGGGTTGCATGGTTGGTGCATGGGCCAAGTGCAACTTGTTCAGAAGAGTTTGCAGGCCAACAGGTCGTTCTCACATCCGTCTGTCGCGTGTTGTCACATGGCACACAAAAAGACCGGCTTGCCAGCCAGGGGAGTATAGCGGACTCCAGATCATGGAGTACTGGCACGAGGTCTGCGTCGCAACTTCGGTTTTCGAGTTAGAGGTGCTGCCAAGTACTGCAGTTTTGTGCTGCGAAGTATGTTGTTAAACGAATCAAATAATGCTGCAGGTACGCTTTACCATTCGTATTCCAATCAAATCATGGCGAGGCTTCTTGGGCGCAGGGGAAGGAACCTTAAAGTAGTACCTATATGTACACACAAACGCATATATATATATATATATGTATACATATATATACATACAGATAATATGTATGTATATGCATACATATATATATATATACTCCCCATCAAAAACCGTCAGTGAAGTTCAGGTTTCAGGGCATACCGGCTTGTCGGGTCTGCTTTGTGAGCTTTGTTTTGTGCCAGTGCATAGTTTCGTTCGATGATTTGGGCGGAAATGCCAGCGGTCAGTTTCCGGTCTGCCCATGTGTGTTGACATCGGCACACTTGGGCAGTATCATGCTTGGAGACTACAAACAGACGCACACACACAAAATCCTTTTGAGCTATTCCTAACATGGAACAACCCGCCGAAACATGAGGACAGTGAATATTCTGGGATGGGCGGGATGTAAGAGGGCAGGGGTGGTGCACATAAAATCAAGGGTTGGAGCAAGAATGCTTGGCTCCGCATTGGTTTTCCCGTGCTGTGCAGCCTGGACTGAAAAATATCTTTATTGGCTGGTATGCAGGCTATTTTGATATGCTGTTGTTAGTTTTCGGGTGTTAGCCTAATGTCATATTTTCCGACCCCAAGGGATTCCAAGACTCTGCAGTCCATGGTTGTTCAACGCTACAAAAAGCAGGGAAAAGATAGAAACTCAGCTAGGAGGAGGGAGGGGGATGTGTCAGATTGGCACAAGTGGCATGCCCTGGGAGGCATCATGCTGTTCTGAGGGTGTTGAGACTGGGGTCTTGTAGGAAACCAGACCTCGGGGGGATTTGTGTTCGGAGTGTAGGGGAAAGGACTTACTTGTACCTCGAGCCAAGCGCGACTCAGTTGGATGCCAGCTGAGCAAAGTGGGGGTCGAATCTACGGCTAAGGATGATGACAAGGATTCCGCCCATACTTTGCGTCAGGTCGACGGTGTGCAACCGAGCCCGCCAAAGGTGCGAGATGCCTGAGGGTAAAGAGGAGTTTTCGAGGGGTTTTGGTTGAAGTCGCAAGGATCTGAAGCCCTGCGTGAGGTGTTGGGTATGTCGGCTAACGGATTTAGGGGGAATTGCGCTCTCAATTTCCTCTACTCGTCATTATTGGACATCTCCAAAGAGATAACTGTCTTCGGCGAGGCTTTACTATGGGGCGGGCGGGTGTGTGCTATCAAGAAATCTGCGGCTAGGTTAATTGAACTCCCTAAGGTATCTTGAGATTTGAGTCCGAGATCATCCTTATATAGCAGCGACATATACATCGTGGGAGTCTTCAACCTATACAGTGAAAATCTGTACTTGTTAAGTGGTTTTGTTTGCTGCGTACCTGTGCTGCTTGGCGGGGTTCGCCAAGAAAGCGGACGCGGAGCAACAGAGACTCATGCGCGGGGTAATGCCAGTTGGTCGCGAGACCCCCCACGGATGCGACTGTTCATGAACATGGCCTCGTTTGTTTTGGGTTTTGCGAGCCCGCATAGTTACCTTTGGGCTGTGTATCGAGAAGTTTTCCTACTTAGACGTACTTCGTCTCCGAGGTCCGTCAGCCCTATGCCCTTAACAGCCCTGTTTGACGTCTTGCGGTTACGATTAGGGGCACAGGTGAAAACTGTGCTCGCAGCGAGGCAGTTGGGTTTAACTCGTAATTTCGCTCTGAGTACATCTGATTTTGATCCGCATCTAACATGCTGGGTAGGGTAGGGTTCCGAGGGAACGGTTCCCGTTTTGAGAAATTTGGTCGCCGTCTGATGCGTCTAGCCTCAACCCACTCAACCTTTGAACCCCGTACGTACTAAGATCCAAGCGTTTCCCTGGCAGCAAGCACAGCTCTTTGCATCAACAAATTGGCAGCTGTGGGGGATGAGGAGCCAAAGTTTAACGAAATGCAAAAGCTCGAACAGGGCGCAACGATGTTTCGTTTTAGCGTTTTAGTTCTCACGCAATTTGCGCAATCCTTTTGAAATCATTTCGGCTTTTTATGTCCCTGAACAAGCCCTGATCCGCGAGCCTTAGGCACGAGCCTTAGGCCGTCCATGCCTTCTTTGTCACCCGCAAACCTTTGTGCCCTGAGCATCTTCTGGGTCATTGTTGGAGATAGACATAGCACAATGGGTGTCGTATAGTGCCTCAAGGTATGGAGGGGGTTGATGTCGGGATACGGGCCAGGTTGCTACGGCTGTGCCTTCGGCTGGACTGGTACGGCAGATGTCAGTGCGAGTGGGTCGGAAAAAGCCCGTCTGTCCGGAAATCTGTCATGATCTCATGAGTCTTGCAAGTAATTCACAAGGCGGCCGTAATGAGTAAGGTGAGCCCCTTGAACTTTCAAATCGCAGGTTGGTGTCTTCGAGAGGTTCGTTCAAGCACGTGGAGATAGGAGGCCCGTTGCCTCGAGCCCATGACACTCCACTCCAGATTTACTCGCAAGCTGCGCGCGCCTTTGCTCCGAGAGTCACTCCAGTGCGTTTACCGCACATTTTCCAGGCGCAGAGGGAGACATGTACATATAGATTTAGATATGATAGTCACATTTGTCACCTGGAGAGCCTTGCCCCACCTGTAGTTCAAGAGACAGAAAGCCCAGGAGGTTTCCTGGGTAAAAGGCTCCATGAACGTGACTTTCCCTGTGCGTGCCGTTCTGTCTCATGTCTTCCAGCATACGTTGGCGCAGTCGCATACTTACAAGACGGGCCCACGCGACTGTGAACTGTGGAATCCGACAGCCTTTGGCGTCCGCATATCCCCACAGGCATGCTCAGCGAACTGCTTAACTTTGCTGGCGATCCCCTTACTCCCTGCCATGGCGACCGGAATAAGTCGCCGGCAGGCCTCGGATGTGCGACGGTCTGACAACTACATGAAAACTTGAGACTTCGTGAGTTTGCTTCACGGGCCGCTGCGGTTTGGCAATTTAGGGTTTAGGGAGCGCAGGAAATGGCTGCCAACGTAAACCTTTGATTGGCCTGGACCTGCAAAGAGCCCCCAGGGAGCTCTTCAGCTGCATCATTTTCTTATGTTTCAAGACAATTGGCACCGGGCGAACAACAGTAAGACTATAGCGGGAAACGGAAGGTATTGTGGGCTGGTATGTAGGAAACTTCGTTAACTGGTCCTGCCATTGAGCGATACATGTGAGTAGTTGCAAGATCATTACATGGCCTATACCCGACTTGGCTTTGGCTTCAGCTGAGACGCGAGGGCGAAATTAGCTTGATCCTAGTAAGCGCCTACAAGTATGTGCATCCCGGATCGGCTGTGGTACTTCGTGGCAACCTTGATCGCATGGGCATATTTCGCGGAGAGCAGGGACTCCCCTTTGCTGCGCCGACCCTCCTGGGCGCCGGTGTGGCTCCTGCGTGCAGCGCGGAAGTGGTGTCGGCTTTTCATCTTCTGCATGACGGTCCTGGGCATGCTCCTTGCGACAGACCTGGTGGAGGCCTTGGGGGCAGGGGCTCGGGGTTAAAGGCATGAATTCGTGATAATGAACCTTTTGCAGGTCTTTTGGCTCCGAGCGGCATACGGCATCTTCGTACTCCTCGCAGACTTCGTGTATTTTGCGGCTTATGGCGGTCACGTGGGCTTTATCTTCCTTTACACAGCTCTCGCCATGACTTTGTCCGCTGGCAGTGCACGTGCAGGGGTCCTGCGGCTCATTGTGGCACACCAGCTGGGCTCTCCGGCCCTCAACAAACTGCGGATTGGTGGCTGGAAGTGGCTGGATCCTAGCACTCTGGAGTCGCACATACGCTTTGTCCGCGATCAGGAGCTACCCTTCAAACCGCACCGCGTCGTGGAGCCGCCGCTTTGCTTGAGAGATTTGTGACGAGCCACAGTCCTCTAGGGCCACGAATGTAGCACGACCCAAGGCCGTGGATGAGGCAGCATTGGATGATGGACTTGTGCCTTCGTCACCAATCGCTGTTAGCTCTACTGCATTGGGCAGGCCTGACCATGCAGTTCCTCGTAGTGCTCGCTTGCTTGTTTGGCGGCCAAGTGGCGCTTTATTTAGCCTGCGCCGCGGCTTGCGGCTTTCATGTGTTCGCGGCTCCTCTGTTGGGCATTGTCTTCCCCTTCTCCATCCCCTGCTACATGCTGGCGCTCCTCCCCAGCTCCGCACATGATGTTGCTTGCCTGTGGAGCCTCCCGGCTCTGGTGACGGCCCTGCTCCTGGGTGGTACCACCGTCTTGGCCACCGAAGATTGGCCACTGAACGCGCTAGCGGTTTTCCCGCACCTCACCTCTTCGACTTCCTGTTTTGCAGAAGTTCTTGTGGTAGAAACAAAGGTGTCGTAATTGCACTCATGCGGACTAAGACGCAACCACTGTTCACCTGCGAAGAAGAAGCAAGGTATAATGCGGAGCAGATGCAGATTCTGGAGTCCATCTTTGGCCGGTATTTGCTAGCACACTCCGAGGGGGAGCCGCGGGCATCTGGAATCTGCCTTACGGAGCCTGGGTCGGACATAGAAGTTCGCAGAAGCTCTTTGATCTTTGTAGCAGACGTGAAGCCTAAGGATCCAAAAGCATGTGAGTTTTCCTAAACCCTAAACCCTAAACCCTAAACACTAAACCCTAAACCCTACACCCCAAGAGGACGCACAAGAGCCAAGGAGCTTTGTGTCGGCATATGCCCGTCTCATCTTTATCCGAGTCACCTCAAAGCGCTTGGAGGTGCCTCTTTCTCTTCTGCAGAGTCATTGCTAGGCGATCAAAGCGATCAAGTTGCAGCCAAGCTGTCTGAATGGCTTCGCCGCAGTCGTTGCTTCATCGATGAACGGGCAGACGGCCAGCCAGGCCGTTGTTTTGATGATGTGGTGGTCGCATCGACTTCAGACCAGGGACGTACTCCCAGCAGCCCTGAACAGCGGCTTTAAACATCAGAGTCAACCATTGCTTGCGAATGCGTGCGTCAAAGTACGCCCACCAGGCATCTCTCCCCTGAGCGCAGGAGCAGCTTTTCCAATCCCCTGCGCTCATGCCGCCTGCTTTCGTTTAGCTATTTCGCACACAGTGCGCGCATGGGACGATGGAAACAGCTGATAAGGGCTGCGCCGTTCCAGATGATTCTATACTACGCTACGTCAACGTGCGAGCTCTGCGGCAACAGCGGCTGGAAAAAGCGGGACAGCAAGCAGGAGCAGGCAGGGCGCCTGCAGCAAGTGCCCTGGCTTCAGTTCCGCTGTTGCTTTGCATCTACTGTGTGTTCAATGGGGTATGCTTGTTGTTTGGTCAACTGTCATGAGAGGCTGAAGGGCTGTTGCGAATCATTCGAGGCTATCCGTGCCAAGGGTCTTCAGCAGTGTTCCGTGACAAGTCTAACTCTTGCTTAAAAACTTAGGTTACTGAGTACTCGTTGCTAGGAGCTTTGTAGCTACATCCCTCTCCCGACTTAGCGTGTTTTCTGGGAGGCTCGGGATGTAAAGAGAAGTGAAGAGGGTAGCGGGATCGGAGGCATGCACGAAGGAGGATCTCAACAGCACCCTTCACCGATACTCAGGCCCTGCCTTACCCGGCCCTACTACGCATGCCTTCCAACAGCTTCCGGCTTCTTGGCCGGAGCCCTGCAGGTAATGTCAGCGACGCAGGCTTTGGGACTTAGGCGCACCCAAGAGACACCGGGACAGGGCTGTGGTTTTTGACCAACAAGATGTAGACCGTACTAGTTTAGGGTTTAGGGTTCAGGGTAAACCAGATAAGGTATAAGGGGTACACGGGCAGCTTTCTGTCGATGTAGCATAACAAGTAGTCTGGTTTCAGTGGTCTAACAGTATAGTCAGTCCCGCTGCTAGTGTCGCCGAAATTGTTATCTATTCTGAGGATTCCAATATTCCTCGTTCTCATGCACAATAGCAGCATGACATAAGCAAACCAGCATTCGTTATGCCAGCCGTAGCAACCACGTGAAGCCCCGACAGTTGAGACCCCGGACAGAAGGCTGCGCGAGTACACTACTCGTGTTATTCGAAGCACGATTTGTGCACTGTCAACGCCAACATAGGGCTCGAAATGTTCGTCGCGACAACTATGGTCGTACTGGAGGTCTTGATAGCGGCGATAGTAGTTAGTTGTAGCAGTGAAGCAGATCCTGTTGCAGCAACCACGGCAGTCGCTGGAGCCATGACAGACGAAAGTCGCACAACACAGCGACCCCAACATCACGATGTTTCCGGACTTTGCCCGTGTTGCCAGAGCTTAGTCTCTCCCAGGAATGCTCTGCACAACACGGCTTCCGCAGCTATTTTACCCAAGCAGAAAGCTTTGCTTTTGGCCAGCTGCCTTCCTTTCGGTGCTCCTGGTTTGCAGGGGGCTTGAGATTTTAAGAATCTGGGGATTTGGCACTTGGGTAGTTGTCAAAATTATGGTCCCTTTTGGGGTACCCTAAATAATAGGTGCCGTATTGTATTGCGGACCCAAAAGGGGACCATAATTTTGACAACCACCCACTTTTTGAGCCGCGACCCTTCCTCAGTTGCATGTGCCGGCAATACTAGGGTCTTTTTTGGGGCAACCTAAGATCCCCAAAAACCCTTCACGAGCCCTATCAGAACCCCAAAAGAACCCTTATAGAACGCTTGCAGCAACCGTTATCCAACCCTTGGTGGACCCTGATTACAGCACCCCCACACCCACCCCCACCCCCACCACCCCCCACCACCCCCACCCCTACCACCCCCACCACCCCCCACCACCCCCACCCTGCACCCCCACCCCCACCCCCACGGTAAACCCTCTTTTCCACCCCTCAATCCCAGGCCCACGATGCCGACGCTCCATGGTTTGCTGCAATCCAGTGCCTCCAGGCGGGTAGTTCTCTAAATTAGGGCCCCTTTTTGGGTCCCCAATATAGTAGGGCCCCCTTATAAAAAGGACCCTTAAAAGGCACCCTAATTTAGAGAACTACCCAGGCGCCCGGAGCACCTTTGCCTGCGCCATGGAGATCTTCCTGCGATGACCTACGCCGATGCTTCGAGTAGAAGAGCTACTATAAGCCCTGCTATCAGGGCTATTCTGAGGGCTTCTATACGGTGTGGCGCGGTAGATGTGAAATTGTGCTGTCTTCGAGTAGAAAACAGCTGTCTGACAGCCAGGAATGTTCGTTGCACATGTCGTCGCAGCGAGGGACCAATAGAAGATCCTGAGGCCCCAGGAAAGTGTGGACGAAATCAAGAACTCTAAACCCTAAGCCCTAAACCCTAAACCTAAGCCCTAAACCGTAAACCCTGAACCCTAAACCCTAAACCCTAAACCCTAAACCCTAACCCTACACCAAAAACCCTAAACCCTAAACCCTAAACCCTACACCAAAAACCCCTAAACCCTAGACCCTAAACCCTAAACCCTACAACAAAAACCCTAAACCCTAGACCCTAAGAAGAAATGCTTGGCCCCTGGAGACCTGGGAATCCGAAGCTCAGGAAGTCTGGAAAGCTGTGGAGCGCTGTGCCAGCCACGTCGTTCTCTTGGAGCCCCGGTAGGGCTTGGGGCTTAAGCTAGGGTTTAGGGTTTAGGGTTTAGGGTTTAGGGTTTAGGGTTTAGGGCGTAACGTAGGGTTTAGGGGGTTTGGGGTTGGGGATTGAAGCGCTTTGGGGCTTACAGGTCTTTCGGCTGTCTTTTGGGGGCGCATTCCGCGGCTCAGGCATTCTCGGGGGAGGTTTTTTCCGTTTGGGGGATCTTCACGGGTTTGGATCTCTTCGAAGCTGGCGTCATGGCACGTTGGCTTTAGGAATTAGGGTTGGAGTGTGGAGTTCAGGTAGTAGTGGTAGAAGTAGAAGTAGAAGTAGAAGTAGAAGTAGAAGTAGAAGTAGTAGTAGTAGTAGTAGTAGTAGTAGTAGCAGCTTCTTAGTCCTGGGTAAAGTTGGGCTTCTGTTTTTTGGTCTGATCTTTCATCGCCGCTCACCTTTTTCAAGAACCTGGTGAATACCCTCGCTGCTGCAACAACCCCTGCTTTACAAAACATCAAGGGCATTCTGGGTGTTGGGGTGTAGGGTTTGGGCGTTTCCCGCAGGGTTCAGGAAGCCTAACCCTAAACCCCACGCAAACTCTCTCACTTCCACCCGAAAAACCCTAGGACACCCGGGTGGTGGCACTGGTCGCAGATCGTTCCTACGGCCTGGTGATCAGCCTTCTGGGAGTGCTGCGCGCAGGGAAGGCGCCGATTCGGGGATCGAAGGTCGCTGAGTCTGCGGCTTTCTGGGGCTCCAGAGAATTTCGGGGGGTGATCCAAATCCAGGAAGCCCTTTCCCCTGGCATCCTAAGCTGCGAGACCACTACAGCAAGCGGCTCTGGTGCAATTTCATGGCAAGGCTTAAGCCGTAAACCTCAATGACTTTAATGCTTGAAGCCTGAAAGCCCAAGCCCCAAGAATAACAAGCTTAGACCCAAATCTCGAAACCCCGTGCCGTGCAAATCCTTCCACAATCCACAGGACCCTCATCGCTACTCCAACACCCTAAAGCCCAAAACAGAGATCCGGAAAACCCTGAAACCCACCCTCAGCTCCCTCCCCATTACTGTCCCCTAAACCCTAAAACCCGCAAAACCCCTAAGCTCTAAGCTCCAACTGTCGGTCTCAAAGGCCTACACGCCGATCGAGCCCGACTTCCCACCGGCAAGGGCCATTTCCATGCTCGAGGCCCGCTATTCTATGCGTTAGGGGTTAGGGTTTAATTACGGCTTAGGGTTTAGGGCTCAGGGCTTGGGGTTCATTGCATGAAGCACCACCGAATTCAATGAAATAGAATCCCCACAGCTCCCTCTTTCAGAATCCATTCCTTCCCAAAGGCGCTTCCTTTAATCCTAGACTCCACCACGGAGAGCCGCTTTTCGAGCCTTGCATAGCCGCAAGAACACCCTCAAAACTTCAACTCCTGAGCCGGCCGACCCCTCCTAAGGCCCGTTGACCCAAGACGCTATAAGCCCCGGATCCCCGAGCCCAAAACCCTACATTTAGGGGAGTTTAGGGTTTAGGGTTTTGGGTTTAGGGTTTTAGGGTTTAGGGTTTTGGGTTTAGGGTTTAGGGTTTAGGGATTTTGGGTTTAGGGTTTAGGGATTTTGGGGCTTAGGGCCTGTCCCCTTTCCACAACCCACGAGGCTGCGGACATCAGCTTCGCACTGGTCCCTGCGCTTCAGGCCTCACGAAGATCTGAGAGCCTACTTGGAGGATCATGGGACTTAGTAAGTAAGGGTATACGTCCCCTAATTGGGGGTTATAGGTATAGTTACCTCAGTGATAACCCTACTTACTGAGTCCCGTGATCCTCTAAGTATTCGGCGGGGGTGTCTTTGGGGTCCTTAGGGTTCAGGTTTTGGGATTTAAGGTTTAGGTTTTTATGTTTTGATTTTCGGCTTTAGGAGTCTAGGGTTTAGGATATAGACCATCGTTTGGAGTCCTTAAAACATGATGGCATGCGGTGACCTAATTCCAGGGGTATCCAGGTACCTATAACTGGGCAGGAAGAGAGCTTGAGAGGCTTTCATCTGCCCTCGCAGGTGATTTGCTAGACCTTGGGGTTTAGGGTTTAGGGTTTAGGGCTTGGGGCGTCAAACTGGCTGTTCAGAGTGCTTTCATCGGCTTTCACCGAGGTTGTCGGTGTGATCTCAGCCTGTTGAAAAGATGGAGTGCACAGTTCAGACGGCTTGGTCCGGTTCTTCACTATTTCGGGAGAGACCTCGAACAAGCAGATGATTATGCCGAAGAGTGGAATGGTGTTGAAGTCCAACCATCAAGAGCTCTCGCCCTCCATCTTGTCATCAGGTGCCCCAGCCAGTTCTGCACGACTGCAAAGGCCTTCGTATCGTGGTTGAAGGGCATTCAAGCCCAGCGGTAGTTTACGATCAAGAATTGCAAGCGAGCATAGCTAGCTGCTGTTACCGTAAGACTTGGCGCTGGTACCGTCAGTGTTCTTGCTACTGGTGGTGGTGCTGGCGGTGGCGGTGGTGGTGGCGGTGGTGGTGGCGCTGGTGGTAGGTAGTGGGAAGTGAAGAGGTGGATGGGCAAATCTTGCGACAGTCGACAGACCCGAATCTATGGGACTATAGTGTTCTGGCTGGCGGCTAGCGTGGGAGTTTGTCAATGAGCGGTCAGGCTCGGGGTTCAGACTAGAGGTACACTCATGTTGAGCCTACATCTGCTCCCTGCCCCGATTGGGAGCAGCATCGTCACGATACTATACTCGTCTGATCACCTGCCCTGTTTCCAAAGAACTTTTACACCGAACATCCCGTCCCTAAACCCTAAACCCTAAACCCTAAACCCTAAACCCTAATGGCAGCAACTTTTACACCGAACAGCCCGTGACCCAAGGCATCCTGGCCGTGCATGACGACGGCCGAGTCTGCCAGGCCAAGAAGTCTCGGAGCGAAAGTTTGTGGGAAGCTCTGTAAGGGTTTAGGGTTTAGGCTTTAGGTTTAGGGTTTAGGGTTTAGGGTTTAGGGTTTATGTAAGTTTGGCTCCCTTTGAGGGTCCTTTTTATAAGGGTGCCGAAAAAAACTTACTTTAGGGAACTACCCTTGTAGTCATGGTGACTGCAGAAGGAACAAAGGAATGGCTGAAATGGAACAGCCTAAGCCCCACATCCGAATCCCCAAAATTATCTCCCCCCACGTCCCATCCTAAACAAACCCTACTCAGACAAGGCAGGTGCAAAAAGGAGCTCAACAAAAATAACAGCCTAAGTCCTAAACCCTCAAAGCTCCAAAGCCGGTTCCCGGTGCCGTGGCTTCTGTACGTTTCGCGCGGCGTTTCCAGAGGCCGAAGACGACCATCCGCTTCCGAGGGACTTCACACAGTTGCAGCCGGTCCCCGACAGCGTGTCTAGGCTTTAACATGCTTAAAGCTTCGAGATTAGGATTAAGGACTTCGGCCAGAGTTTGGAGATCAGAGTCTAGGACTGAAGAGAAGGGATTCTTGCCTCCAGCTTTCCTCCGGAAGCCTCAGCACCGAAGGACGCACATCTCAGGGTTTAGGGTTTAGGTTTTAGGGTTTAGGGTTTAGGCACAGCTCCGCGTTGAGGGTTGTTTTCCATCTGGGGTAGGGCAGCGTATTGTAGGGAGTTGCGACAGGGGGTACCTTGTGTTGCACAGGCCACATCTACCCAACCCCCAAAGACAGCAAACACAACAAAAACGACACGAAATGCTCAAACTTACTGCATACACCACTGAACCCTGGCGCCCCTTTCTGAAACAAGAAGGAGAACAAAACCGATGCTTTACAAGCGAGGCCACGGCTTACGTGCTCTTCACCTCCGGCTCGACAGGGAAGCCCAAAGGCAGCTTGCCCTGTTTGGCCTCGGGGGCTTCGTCTTAGCTGAGCTGATGGGTTTAGGGTTTAGGGTTTAGGGTTTAGGTTTAAGGTCTGGTGACTTAGCGAGTTCTTTGAGACCTTCAACTCCCTACACCGGTACTTTAGACCACGAGACAGGCTCTAAACTCTAAGCCCAGCCCCACTCCCTCAACTCCCAAGCCTTTTGCAGATCGGCGTTGGGCCCAAGAGCAAGGGAAGCACTTGGATGTTCCGGGTCCAAGCATGCTAAGTGCTGTGGTGGGTCATGGCGGGCGAACAATCCGACACTTTGGGGTGTCTGAAGTTGAATGATGGAGCTTTGCCAGTCATCCCTGTGGTCACGTTTAGGGTTTAGGGCTTAGGGTTTAGGGTTCAGGGTTTAGGGTTTAGGGTTTTCTCACACCTTTAGCTGGATTCTCGGACCTCATGGATCGACAGGCCATGTTATCACAGCTGAACTAGTCAAACTCAGGCAACTTGTTTCGTTGTGGTCTACATGAGAGACACCTGCGCTTTATTTAACAAATGTGTTGCCCCGGCAAACTCCGCGCCTCATGGTTCGAAGGTATGGCAACTTCAGGGCTCAGTGGTGTTTCGATTTTGAGTTGATAAATTGCGGCCTAAGTGTAGGTTTTGGGTTTAGGGTTTGGGGGTGACTTGCCTTAAACCCTACTCTTACACTCTGAACATAGACCCACATGTTTTTACTTTGAGCGTGAGCAAACCCAGGTTGCATGGTCCCTCACCGGGGAAGCGCTTTGTACGCCCAAGCAGTTGTGGACCAGTGTCACCTGGACTGGCTGGGGGTCTGCAGTGGCATAGGATCCGGCGAAAGTTGTAGTTGTCTTTCAGCTGTTCGGTTTGAGGCTAATTAGGGCTTCAGAATTTTGGGTTGAGGTAGTGGGGCACGATTCTCGGGTTTCTGACTTCGTGGCAGATGGGCCAAGGCTTCAAGAAATCAAGGATTCAGGGGCCTCAGTGGGCGCCCGGCCGACATCTGCAAAAGCGTCGTCCTTTTGGTTGCAGTTCGGGACTGAGGAAATCAGGCTGTGCCAATTTGATTGGGTAAAGCGAGACTGTCGGCAAGTTCATCGTCCAGGTTTGTTGGCTGAAAGCTGTGCGTGCGCCCAGGTGCCAGGCACAGAACCGACGGTGCCCGTGCACCTGACACGCTGAATCTAGTTGCGAGCCTCGATGCTCAGCCAGAACTGAAGATATTCGGTATCATCCTGACTATGCTAGAACGTCTTCCAAAGCCCTATTGTAATTGCTACGAATTCCCTCGAGTATCCCATCGTGCCAGGACGAGAACATGGTGTTCCTTCTGAAGACACCTTACGTCTTTGATGTGTCCATTCAGGACCCCGGACCTGGATGTGAAGCAAACGGCGGGGCGCCAGGAACTATAAGATCGAGGGCGTTTTGCTCGAGCTTGCCTTTGGCCTTGTGTGGTCCTTGGGTTGGAGCTTACGCCAGGACCTCTTCACCGCCTTCTGCGCTGGTGGCACCTTAGAGATCGCAGACCCGGGCGCTCACAAGGCCAGCAACATGCACGGTGGATTTGCCAAGGCTGCCAAGGAACCAAACCCTAGCCCCCGTAGAATCTGAACTTTAACCCGCACCCGCAGACGTCGTGACAGCAGTAGCTAAAGTCGGGATGGCAATCGGAATGTAACGAGCACTATGTGGCACTATGCTGCTGGATCCGACCACTCGAGCAAGTCGGACCCAGGTAGCACCTCGGCTTTCAATTGTAAACCCAGCCCGCTTTGGTTGAGGGTTTCGGGGTCGTAGGAGTTGACGAAGCTCCCAATCCTCAGCTCATTCCTACCATTATTTCTCGTGCCGCTCCATTACAATGGCAGTAGTCGCACCTGCTATTGCGATGTTAATGGCTGGGAAGAGAAATGAGTGATTCGTTTCTTGCAGCAGGAGGAGAGGGTAGGTATCGGCAGCGGCAGAAGCAGTGACATTGCAAGCGTTATCATAGGGGCCTGAATATAGTCAGGAATGCTCAACAAAGAGTCTCATGCGGTTCAAACTTCCCTAAATTCAACGTGACAGCTATGTGCAGTGGGTGGCTCTGCTGCAGCATCACCGCGGCAATAGATTCTGAGGTTTCTTGAATCCGCAATCTAAGGCTTGAATAGGTAGTAGCTGATACTGTTGTGTATTTCGGAGCTCCCTATTGAAATACCGCAAGTGCCGTACAGTGGTATGCCAACTGAATCCTATTCTAGCTGTTACGGCTCGCATAATGTAGGGGCCTTAACAATTAGAATAGGGTTTTGGGGTATACTCTACTATTCTTATACTAAGGAACCCCCAAAATGGTATAGGTAGTTATTTAGGTCCCTGTTTTCATCCGCTCCAGGACGCTGGTGCCATTGCAGAGATCATTGGCAGCAGGGGGGTGAACTGCGCCTGCTTCGTGCCGACGCTGCTGCTTGGCGACATCCAGACCCAGCGTTACGAGCTTAGGGCTTGGCAGTCAGGTTTTAGGGTTCAGGGTTTAGGAGTTTAGGGTTTGGGGTTTAGGGTTTAGGGCTTAGTTTCGGGATGCAGGGAACAGGGGTTGAAAGGTTTAGAAGCTCAGCTCGGGGCTTGGGCTTTGAATCTGAGGCTTCCTGTTTAGTTTCGGGTTGTAGGGTTTAGGGTTTAGGTTTAGGTTCGGATTTTGGGATTTAGGGTTTAGGGTTTAGGCTCGGATTTCAGGATTTAGTGTTTAGGGGTTCGGATTTTAGATGGACGTCGACAGCAGCGTGGGAGAAAGCCTGAAGCACGACACTCCACCCGAAATGGAGCTGTCAAATCTTCTAAACCCTAAACCCTAAAC